CCCCCCCCCCCCCCCGCCCCGCCTGTATTTAGTCATGCCTGCCACAAATTGAGTCTTCCAGATGTAAGAAAGGAAGTTGTCCTGTGAGTTTGTTTGGGAAAACAGGGGGAGGGTGCCTAGATCAGCAGACTGAGATGTCCAGCGGAGGTTCATCTTAAATGCCTAGGAGAGAGAATTTAAGATGAAGGGATCTGGTTGGATGGCAGCTTCAGGATAAAAGATATTATACATAAAAGAGCAAATGTGGGCAAATACCATCTTGAAACACTGGTGGCCCGGGGGGGGGGGAATGGGAGGACCTGAGTTCAGACATTTTACTTCAAGCTGGATGTGGACTTCATCTCCCAAAATTCTCAACAGTAATGGCCAGGAAATGTTGGGAGTTCAAGTTTACACATCTGGAATATGCCCTATTTAAAGATGGCTGATGTAAAGGGATGAGAGAAATGGAAACATAAATAGGTAATGTAACAATGTATTTTCATAATACTGCAAAATGTCTTATTCTCCCTCTGTTTTCTTTCTGGTATCAACCTGGACAGCCCTTGTACTGTCCAGAGTGAAAGAGAGAAACAGACAAGAAAAAGCTTTTAAAAGATGGCTCCAAACGAACATTTAAATGCATACATTTCCCAGGTATATTCATGAAAAGGAGGAAAACCCCTCTGGAGTCACAATCTGGCATATCTGAAAGCCAGGATGGTAGAAACAACAACAACAATTAAGGCATAATAAGGCGGCTTCACTTGGAACAGCTTACATCCTGCAACGATACCTTCACCATCAAACAGCTTCTGCCTATGGTCCTTGGGAAGGACTCGACAGGTGGATAAAAATGCCAAATCCAGTCTTAACATCTAGCTGACTGTGCAACCAACAATAATAATTTATTACATTTATATGCCACCCAACTCCCAGCAACTCTGGGCAGTTTCACTGATTGCCACGTTCCCCAACCTGGTGACCTTTACATGGGTTACAATTCATCTTCAATCATTCCCATCTAACACTGGGAAGTAGCAGACTGGGGAAAGCTGGTGATGAAACTAGAATACTGGGCAAGGGTTGGAGAAACCCAGACCTGAATTCTCACCTCAGCTACAAGGCTCAGGGAGTGACGTCAGCTTACTGCTGTAGGGCTGTGGTGAGGATAAAATGGAAGAGAGAAAGCTTAGATAAACAATCCAGAAGAGTAAATCCAGACCCTATTTATTCTTGGCTTGGCACTGCCCTGTTCTTGTACTTAATCGTTCACCTCAGTCGATTCCCACCTACACACAGCTGGTCACTGCTTTTTCATATGTAACAAGAGTGAAAAAATGCTACCATTCCCTTTTCTTCTTTTCTTTTTTCCAAACAGGGGATAGAGCAAGATCAGATTTCCCAGGAACACCTGTCATATCTCCAACCACCAGACTGTTAAAAAGGATGCTATACATGGCTGTGATTCAAACAATTCATTCAGGGACCGTGCCGTATCTATGGGCTTATGTGACCTTTTCTTCTTTGTCTTCTTAGAAAATGCCATAGCCACAAAGCATAGTTGATTCAGGAAAAACCACCTTCTCCCACAGGCAAGCCAAGGATAGTCTCTGGGAGGAACTTTGGAGCTGATATCTGGGCTCCTGAAGTGCTGCAGGATTGGCTAACCAAAGTTTCAGGCAATACACATTCAGCTAAAAGTTCAGCACCCCTTTTCTATTGATGCAAAGACCACAGAGATGTTCCAACCCAATGGCTGGGTCTGGAAGCCATCACCCTGAGGAGATGGTACATTTTATTTTTCTCATTGCTTTTGTTGCTTCAAGTAGAGCCACCTGGATTGGATTGGAGGGTCCAAAGATAAGAAGGTTGATACCACTGTCTGAAATAACAGCTGAAGTGAACTTGATCCTGGGTCTTCCCAGTTCTGAGCGAGTACCTTCAACCACCCCTTCACCAACATTCCCCATTGTCTCACAAAGGTCTAACAGATCTTGATAAATATATAACACAGCACCAGTTTTAATTTCATTTAGGCACCATTTGGTTTCCCAAACTTTAGCGGTATGATCTGTTCATTTCTTGATTTTTTTTCTTGATTTGTGTCGTTCCTTTTTAGCAATACAGTCCATTCAATTGTTTTATATTTAAATTCTCTTTCTAAGTTGCCATGGAGACCATACACAAAGGAATGAGACATTAAAGTATTACCTGCTCATGTAAATAACTAAATTATTAGTCAGGTTAATTACAGATTTCACTGATGGTGCTCCTGGTTACTCAGTGGAGATCTTATATATATTATATATAAATTGGTGCCTTTGAGTCAGTGTTGATTCCTGGCAACTGCCGAGATTAGTCCCTGCAGATTCTTGGCAAGATTTCAGAAGTGGTTTGCCATTGCCTTCTTCCTAGAGCTGAGAGACTGATTGGCCCAAAGTCATCCAGCTGACTTTGTGCTTAAGATGGGACTAGAACTCACAGTCTCCTGGTTCCTAGCCTGGTGCCTTATCCACTATGCCAAACTGGTGCTCAGTGGAGATCTTACATTTCTTTAAAAAAACGTTGTAACTACTTAGCTCTGTATTTTCCCATGGTGATCTCATTTTTCCCTCATCAGCTCCCTGTTTTCCAAAACTGGCATTCAAGAACGTGAGGAGGACTTGATGAAGAGAAGTTGTAGACCACAAGTAAAGAAGTGGGATTTCTACAATTAGTTTGATCATTTTTAAGAGTCTGCATTCTAGCAAGACGATAACTTTGATATCTTTATATCTGTTGTTCAGGCATTAAGTCATGTCCGACTCTTCGTGACCCCATGAACCACATTGCGCCAGGCCTTCCTGCCCTTCACCACCTCCCGAGCTTGCTCAGTT